CCTCTGCGCTCAGAAAGGTGCCAGTCAGTCCGCCTCTCCCACCCTCCAGCCTGTGACCCTGGCCAGGTGAGTTCACCTTTGAGCCTTCGTTTCACATCTTAAAACGGGTGACAGTGCCTGCCCCTGAAGGCCCTACAGCGGACCCTGGGCGGAGGCGGGCTGTAGCTCTTGTTTCCACCCCTCCTGTGAGTCAGCACAGCAGGAACCCAGCCACGAGCCACTCCACGGCCCCAAAGGGACTTTTCAAGGGACCCCCAGTCCAACAGGGAGACGGGACACAAGACAACCTTAAAACTAGGTGAACTGTTCCAATGGGGAGGAGTGAGCGTGGCAGGGCTGCCCCCCCCCAAGGCAGAGGTTGAGTGTAGACCTTGCTGGGAGGACCCAGGGGACAAAGGGAGAGCTCTTGTACAACTCTCCCAATCCAGGACTCTCTCCAACAGAGAGCTTGGGGCCCCTCCAGCTGACTTTGGAGTCTCAGCAGGGGCTCAGAGGCTGGGGTCTGACAAGTCTCAGTGGAGCTCGCAGAGCTGCCCCCACCAGCCCCGCCTTGCCCGCCCTTCCTGCTAAAAGGTTTTTGGTGTTTGTTTGGAGAGAATTATCATTCTGCTCTGAGCCTCCCTCCTTCCTATACATCAAATGAGGAAGTGTCAAGAGAGCTGTGTTCAGAGCCTGGCACAGTGGTACATGCCAGTGACTTGGGAGGCTGAGGCAGGAGGGTCTCAAATTCAAAGCTGGTCTCAGCAACTTAGTCAGACTCTGTCTCAAAATTAAAAAAAAAACTTTTAAAAGGGCTGGGGATGTGGCTCAGTGGTTAAGTGACCCTGGATTCCATCCCTGGTGACAGAAAAGAGAGAGAGAGGGAGAGCTGTTCCAAGGGCCTGATAACTATGCCTTGACTGTGGGGGACACAGCACCAGGCTGGGACCTCACACGCCACAGAGGCCAGCAACCATGTGTGTGGTGGAGTGAGAGAGCCAGTGCCGCCCTGGGAGTAGCTGTCACTGCCAGGGCAGATGGGACATCGGGTGCCTGATTCCTCAGTGGACCACAGGAGGGCCTAGGGACAGGAGCTGGCAGGGTGGTGGGAGACCCCAGGCAGAGGGAACTGCGGACACCTGTGCCCAAGAAGAGAAGCTGCCAGTGGAGGGGGGCAAGGTTCTGTCCAGGAGAAGATCCCCAACAGGAAGTTCCCTGAAACCCCAGGGAATCTGTGAGTTAGTTGACTTTGGACATCCACCATGTCCCAGTGTCCCCAGGCCAGTTCACAAGTGTCAGGCAAAGGAGGGCTTTTCCTGCCCTCTCTCCTGCTCCGCATCCCACCCTGGAAAAGCCGTGAGGAGTAGCAGAGGCAGAGACAGAGGGAGAGCAAAGGTTTCTAGTTTCTGAGGCCAGCTCACCCCAGAGAAGGGGTGCCCCCTGCATTGCATGAGATATTACTTTGAAGTGGATTCTTAAAAAAAAAACAATGAATGGGTGATTTTGAAGGAGTTCAAGGTGTGCCCACTCAAAAAGTGCTGAATTGGTCTATCCATCTTCATGCTGAAATCGTTTGAGGAGCTGGAACTTCAGAAAAATCCATGGTGCCTGTCTTTTTCTACATACAACAAGCACACAGATTCTACGTGGAGGAGGAAAATAGGATGGAAAATACCTTCCTCACCAGAGACTGGAACCCGGGGCTGCAGCGAACCTGAGAACGCAAACTCTGAAGTAACCCTTACCCACCACCAGCTTCCACCTGCCCCTCTCTCTTCCTAACAGTTCTAGAATTGCTACCTGCTGTAGTTTGGATTCAGAATGTCTCGAAAGGCCTACACGTTAAAGCCTTGGTACCCAGGCCCAGGGTGGCTCTGTTGGGAGATAATAAAACCTTTAAGAGGTGGGGCCAGGGGGAGGTCCATAGGTTGTTTGAAGGGGATGGTGGGACCACCAGCCCCCTCCCTGCTCTTGTTTCCTGGTCACAAGATCATGGGTTTTGCTCTGCCATATGCTCTGCCATGATGATCTGCCTCATCACAGCCTCCAAAAAAGAGGGGTCAACAAATCATATACTGGAACTTACAGAACTGTGAGCCAAAAGAAACCTTTTCTCTTTATAAGTTGATTATCTCAAGTGTTTGTTATAGTAATAGAAAGTTCACTAAATCCAAAACCCTAGTCCAGACACTCTTGTCCTATCCTTCCTTCATAATAAATGTACTGTTCTTCGTCTAAAAAGCATAAAAGCATCATACTTTTGGTCTTTCTTCAGACTTCACTGTCCTGTGAAGGTCTCCATGCACATGTAAAGTCAATATAACTCTGATGCTTTTCTCTTGTTAATCAGCTCTCGTATTAATTGGGTTCCTAGATCCAGCCCAAGAGCCCATGTGAGAGCTGAGGAGGGTGGGAGAGGCTCTGTCATCTCGGATTTCCATCATACATGAAGTTAGAGAGATTAGTGTAGTGGACTCTGTCCTGTCAGCCAGCCTCAGCCATGGTCTGGTCGTGCTGAACTTCTATCTGTGCCCCATCCCTTCCTCCCCATGTAATTTTGAATCAAATCTTCCAGAAAGAATAGAATGATTTCCTACTTGCCTCTGAAATTTTAAAAATAGTCACTGAAATTGTTTTTTTTTAATATTTTTAGTTTTTTTTTTTTTTTTTAAATGTGGTGCTGAGAATCAAACCCAGTGCCTCACACATGCTAGGCAAGCACTCTACCACTGAACCACAACCTCAGCCCATAGTCACTGAGATTTTTAAAAAGAGTCACAGTCCTCTCCTGTTTGATTAGGCACTCTATTAGCTTTTTGTCATTGTGACCAAAAACAACTTAAAGGATTAAGGATTTATTTCTGTCTCACAGTTTCAGAGGTATCAATCCCTGGTGTGCGGCTTCACCGCTCTGGACCTTGGGTGAGGCCAAGCATCATGGTGGAAGGGCACAGAGGAGGAGAGCTTCTCAGCTCAGGGCAGCTGGGAAGCAGAGGGAAGCTGGGATGGGGCTGGGGACGAGATATAGTCCCCAGGGAATGCCTCAAAGTAAGCCACTGCCTTCAACTAGGTTCCATCTCCTGGTTTCCACCTCCTCCCAACAGCCCATCATCTATCAGTGGATTAATCCACTGCTGAGGTCAGAATCCTCATGATCCAGTCACTTTCCCAAAGCCTCACCTCTGAACATGGCTGCATTGGGGACCAAGCCTTAAACACGTGAGCCTCTGGGGGAGACATTCCAGATTCAAACCATAACAGTAACTGAGAGTAAAGCACCTGAGATGAAAGCCTGGCAGAATCTGCAGAGATGTTCTATAGAAGGCAGGCTAGATATCTACTTGTTTCGTCATTGTGTTCTCCCACCCAAGATAGTGCCAGGCACATAATAGCTGCTTAGCAAACCATTCTGCAGCCACTCTGCCTGATCTCCTCTGTTGCCATCTTGGGCAGCAGCTCTTCCCAAGTCAGGCATTGACTAGGGCTGACACTCAGCTCTCCATCGGAGGCAGTAGGCAGGTGCTGCTCACAGTAGCCCCACCCTGGGGCATTGGTCAGAGGCAGGGTTATTTATGGGCTATAAGAGATAATCAGAGAAGCATCTAGCTCTATGCTCTGTGAGGCCAGCCACTGGTTGTCACAAGAGCTATATAAGGAGATATGCAGAGAAAAGTTTTGAGCAGGAGGGTGACATTGAACTTTACTTTATTGTGTGGAAGGTGGAGTAGAAGTGGTAAGACCAGAGGCAGCCAGTCGGCAGGGCAGGGCTGCAATCTGGGGAGAAGAATGCGTTTTGACCCACATGGGGAGGAGCTGCGGCGTCTGCAGAAGAGAGTTTGCTGGAAAATCTGGAGGCACAGCTCAGCTGCTGCAGGTCCAACCCTCCTCCCCTGCCAGTGAGCTCTGGATCCTGAATGTTCCAGGTGGGACATAAATAGGGACCTTTGTAGGACTGGCTACATTTTGCAGAATCCAGTGCAAAGCAAAAATGTAGTCTTCTTGTGAAAAAAATTATTAAGATTTTCAAGATGGTGACAGCAGAGCATTAAGCCAAGAGCCATGTCTTTTATGTAGGGTTACCAGATTTAGAAAGGAAGAAAATAGACACCCAGGCCGGGCGTGGTGGTGCACGTTTATAATCCCAGCGGTTCAGGAGGCGGAGGCAGGAGGATCGTGAGTTCAAAGCCAGCCTCGGCAATTAAGCGAGGCACTAAGCAACTCAGCGAGACCCTGTCTCTAATAAAATACAAAACAGGGCTGGGGATGTGGCTCAGCGGTCGAGTGCCCCTGAGTTCAATCCCTGGTACCTGCCTTCCCCCACAAAAAAAGAGGAAAAAGAAAATGGACACTGAGTTAAAATTGAATTTCAGACAAAAGAGGAATAATTTTTTAAAATTTTGTGTCTCATGCAATATTTGCAACAACTGTTTTTCATTATTTATCTGAAATTCAACTTTGGCAATGCTGTTTTCTCTGCCTGCCGTGCTAGGCCTGCCCCCTCCATTACCCGGCGCTCCTGGGAGTGGCTCAGGTCTGGGGTACTAGGAGAAAGGTTCTCAAACTTTAGCAGGTATCCAGATCACCTGGAGGGCTTTTTAAAACTCAGATGACTGGGCTCCACCCCCAGAGTTTCTGAATCATAGGTCTAGAGTGGGGACCAATAATTTTCACTTCTAACAAGTTCTACGTTGTCACATCCACAGCCCAGTTGTGCCAGGACATGAAGATGCAGAGAGACCAAAGAAAGCACTTGAAGGTAAGAGTCATCCAGGTGGGGAAGAAGAGGAAGGCCTCATGAGACCTGTGCTTTATTGGAGAAAGCTTATAGAGGTCAGTGACTGCCCCAAGAAGGGTTCAGTGGCGACAGGCTGAACTGGTAGCACCTCCAACCCTTATGATGCTTCCCCAAGCAGAGCTGCCATTCCTCATGGAGCTTTGCACAGGGATAGCTGGTTGGATGAATGACACATATCCTCTCCACAGTGCTCCCATTTCTACACCAGTCCCCATTTTGAGAGGGGTTTTATATCTTAGGCTGCAGAAGCAGTGACATTAGCATTAACTTGCTTGGTTTGCTTGTATGGCCAACATCCGGAGCAGCCACTGTCCTGATCTACATGCAAGAAAGTAATTTTCTGTAGATAACACTGATTTGCCTTGGTTCCCAATGTGCACAAGAGAAAACCAGTGTCCTTCAAGATAATACGTATCTGGACCTTCCATCCCTGGCCTGCTCTCATTGTTCCCTTCACTTGGCTAGGTTTTTGGGAACCAGAAGGAATCATTCAAGGACATGGTGTCTTAACTGTCCTTCTGTAAGAATGATACCTAAGGTGATTCTGATGCCACTAGTCCTGGGACTATATTCAACTATTGCTGCTCACAAGGTTCATTACCCTTGCAAGTCCCTGAAAGCAGCAGAAATGCATAATGACCTAAATTGGCCACCAGATGGCAGAAGCATCCACAACTCAGGTCTCAGGACCCGCCCACTGTCTTGGGTCTAGGTTGACACTTCTGCTATCCTTGCTCTGAATGGTGACTGTGCTTAGGGCCACAGGGATGAAAAAGACAGGGGTCAGACTCAGTCCCTGACCATGAGGGGTTCAGGGCTTGGAAAGGGGATAGATGTAACTGGCAATTACAACAGATGCTGAGAGAGAAAAGCCCAGGGACTGGGGGAACCCAGAGGAGGCTGGAGGAAGTCAGGGCAGGCTTCCTGGAGGAGCTGATAGCCACTGGTAAGAGACATCCACGTGGGGAAGAAGAGGAAGGGCTGGCTGGGCATAGGAATAAGTAAGTCCTGAGAACAGGGGTGCCCCCGCAGTGGTGCTGGGTAGAGGAGAGAACCGATGGGTAGAATCAGGCCAGGCTGCCAGGATCCAGAAGGGCCTTGACACCAAGCTGGAAGTGTGGGCAGAGATTGAAGGGAGCCCGAGGAGGCTTTTAACTAGATGGTATGTTGGAATGATCCCTGGCCGCAGTGTGGAGGAGGAAAGATGGGGACAGGAGGCTAGTCAACAAGGGTACAATGGCCATGTGAAGAGGTGGCCAGGTGACAGCCATCTCTCATCCATTCATTCTTCCATCCACTTACTGCAGGCACACATGGAACACCTTCTCAGAGCCAGACCTTTGGTCGTGCCAGACGCTGGGTCTTGGTGATGATGAAGATGACAGACGACTCCCAGCTTATGCGGGGAGTTTACCTTGTGTCAGGGAAGGCTGCCACCCAACATCCAATGGCACCATGAGCCAGCCAGTTACAGCTGTGGTCTCTGAGAGGTGCTAAGGAAGCCACATGGCAAGGTCTGGGCAGAGCTGGGGCTACGATGGGGAGTAGAAGCCATCTCCCAAGAGCACCCCTGACCTGGGCACCCCACCCAGCAAGCACAGTTGCCTCATTCAGCAGACCCTGGCGCCCTCCCTGCTACAGCCCAGAGCTAACAATATGACCATTGAGGGCTTCTACACCACCCCAGGTCCAGCTTTCCTGCCCTCATCCTCCCTCAGCCACACAATCCTGGCCTTCAGTGGGGAGGATAGAGCAGGATTATACTCAGGTACCAGAGGCTGGGCCCAGTCCTCTACCAGAGCAGTCTGGCCTGGGCCCAGGTGAATGCCCAGCCAGGCCCCTTCTTCAAACATCCTGGGCTCTTCTAAGATACAAAGAACCTGATGCTAGAAGCAGGGGAATGGAGGGGGTGACCTTGACTGCCAAGGGGATGCCCTGTAGTGCTGTTGTGATGCTCAGGGGTCCTGGAGCCCACCACATTTGTCTGCAGAGGTGAGGTTGGCCTCACAGATGAGTTGATTAAAATCAAGGTAACTGGAACATTGCCCCCTAGAAGTCTGGCCTTCTTGCTGTTCCTAGAACACACCCAGGGAACCAGTCAGGGTGGAGCATGCCTGTAGCCCCACACTCTGGAGGCTGAGGTGGGAGGATTGCTTGAGCTCAGGAATTCAAGACTCACCTGAGCAACACAGTGAGGCCTGTCTCAAACCAGAACAACAAAGCAGAAACATGCCCGAGTCATTCCAGCCTTGTAATGTTTACACATGCAGCTCCCCTGCTTGGGGTGCTCACCTCCCACCACAAGGTCATTGCCAAGTTGGCTTCTTTGGTGAGAGGGATAAAAATTCTCCAAAGATGTCATTGTCCTAATCCCTGGCACGTGGGAACATGTAACCTTGCAGATGTGACTCAATTTGAGATCTTGAGACAGGGGGGTTTTATTGGAGGCACAATGTCATCAGAAGGGTCCTTATAAGAGGGAGGCAGGGGTCAGAATCAAGTGGGATGTCTGATGTCTTCTTTGATATAATGAGAGCAACTATGAACAGAGCAGGGAGGAAGAGCAGGAAGAAAAGATTAACATTAAACAGAGACATGAGATGGGAGGGAAAGGGAGAGAAAAGGGAAATTGCATGGAAATGGAGGGAGACCCTCATTGCTATACAAAATTACATATAAGAGGTTGTGAGGGGAATGGGAAAATAAACAAGGAGAGTAATGAATTACAGTAGATGGGGTAGAGAGAGAAGATGGGAGGGAAGGGGAGGGGGGATAATAGGGGACAGGAAAGATAGCAGAATACAACAATTACTAATAGGGCATTATGTAAAATTGTGGATGTGTAACCGACGTGATTCTGCAATCTGCATTTGGGGTAAAAATTGGGAGTTCATAACCCACTTCAATCTAATGTATGAAATATGATATGTCAAGAGCTTTGTAATGTTGTGAACAACCAATTGAAAAAAAAAATGGGATGTCCGAAGCCAAAGTTGGAGAGGGGAGACTTGGAGCTGCAGGGTTGCTGGCTTTGAGCTTGAAGGTGGAGGCGGGACAGTGCGTGAAGGAGCCCAAGGGCTGGAAAGGGCAAGAAAACGTGCCCCTGGAGCGTCCAGGAGGAAGTACCAACCCGTGCTAGTCTTTCGACTTCCAGCACCTTAAGCAATGCATTGGTGTTGTTTGAAGCCGCTCTGCGGTGATTTGTTGCAGCAGCCACAGGAAATGAAGGCAGCTTCTCACTCTGGAGATCTCAGGTCACTGATGTGAAGTGGTCCACCTCCTTCCTCCTGTCCCCGTTTCTTCTTGGTTTTTATGATTCTCTCCTGGCCAGCGTGTGAGGCTGGAGCTCTGGCTCTGTTCACTCTTGGGTTCCAGATTGCTGGGTTTGTAGTGTGTTCTCAGTAAACATTTGTTGCATAGAAGAAAGAAGGAATAAATGAAGAACTTCTAAGGATTCTCTCATGTGAACACGGAGCAGCTTTTGGCTCCCCTGTCCCCTCCCTCCACATCGCCCAGGCTTTGTGGGGCGACTCGGAGGGAGGGTCAGGGGTCTTGGAGCTGCTGGAAAGGAGGGAGAGTTGTGTGAGGGGTGGAAGCAGGGGAGATGAATGACCATGCATCTGCTTGGGGTGGAGGACACCTTATCTGACACAAAACTTGTGCTCACACTGCGCAGTTTACAGATCACCGCAAACCCAGTGTCTTCTTTGTATCCCTCAAAACAATCTGGGAAACAGGTTGAAACTTTTTTTCTTATTTTGTAGATGGGGCACTGAGGCTCTGGACAGCGATTTGTGGGGTAGGGTCATCGGGTGCCTCTCTGGTAAGAGTGGGACCTGGGGTGCCCAAAGGCTCTCCCCAGGACCTTATGCGCCAGTTCTACTTGTTGCTCGGGCTCCCAGCTTTGCCCCTGTTGTTCCCTCTGCCTGGCTTTCCTCTCCTCACCCTCTTTCAGGGGGTGGTATTAAGAGATAGAGAGGTGTTTACCTCAAGTGTAAATTTAAAAACCTCAATAATCAAAATTATATTTTCATATAATTTTTTTTTGATACCAGGGATTGAACCCAGGGGTGTTTGACCATTGAGCCACATTCCCAGTCCTTTTTTTTTTTTTTTTTGAGACAGGGTCTCATTAAGTTGCCTAGGGCCTCACTAAGTTGCTGAGGCTGACCTTGAACTTGTGATCTTTCTGTCTCAGCCTCTGGAGCCACTGGGATTACGTGTGTGAGCCACCATGCCTAGCTCATGTAAAATTTTTATTTTATTTTGGTACTGGGAATTGAACCTAGAGACTCTCTACCACTCAGCTACTTCTCCAGTCCTTTGTTTTATTTTTTTAAATTTTAAGACAGGGTCTCACTAGTTGCTTAGGGCCTCCTTGCTATGTGCCCAGGCTGGCCTCGAACTTGTTATCTTCCTACATTAGCTTCTTGAATTGCCGGGATCACAGACTTACACTACCATGCTTGGCCTCATGTAATAATTTTTAAAAGTCACAGTTAATGCAAACAAATCCATGATGTATAAAATACCTAATTTTAAATAAATATTGTTTAGTTTTCCTTTGCCTCAGGTTCTGATATGGCTGACACAATCCTGTTTTACTGGTCCTGTCCAGGACTCACTACACAATTTGAGGAGCCCTTCCTTTAAAACTTATTAAAAACTTCAAAATGGCAACAGCAACATGTTTAACCCTGTGGGAGGCCCAATAAGACCAAGCAGGTTGTGCACTCATGAAGTCTGCCCTGATCCTGTCTTTGGTTAAAATATTGATATTTTGTTCATAATGGGATTTGGGGTTGATTTTTATTTTAAAAAGTACTGCATGAGCCAGGTGCAATGGCACATGCCTGTAATCCCAGCAGCTCGAGAGGCTGTGGCAGGAGGATTGCAAGTTCAAAGCCAACCTCTGTAACATAGCAAGACCCAAAACAACTCAGTGAGACCCTGTCTCTAAATAAAATACAAATAAAGGGCTGTGGGTGTGGCTCAGTAGTTAAGTATCCCTGGGTTCAATCCCTGGTATCAAAAAAAAAAAAAAACTACATGAAAATATTATTGATAGTGACTCCCAAGGTTTGGGGTGCCTCTGTTAGGTTGTGTGCCAAAGGCAAGCACCTTGCCCTCCTCCCATAGGTCTTCTCTACTTAGTGTGAACTTCCCAGCCTCAGGTGACCTCATGTAGGAAGTCTTCCCTGACCCCCACCCAGCCCTGCACCAGGTCAGGAACTTCTGGGCTCCAGCTCTGCTCAGCTTCCTCCCCTGTCATTTCCCTGACTGGAGAAAGTGAGTTTGGTTTTGCTTCTTGTTCCTAGCATGGGGCTTGTCCCAGCATTGTGGCTCAGGATAAACTGATTTTGAGTGATAATAAGTGACCTATTAGTGATGGAATTCTGTCCACATGAGGGCTTTGGGACAAGCAGCAGATCCTGGGTGACACCCTAGTGGGTAACCCTTGAGCAAGTCTCCATCTCTGAAAGTGCCCAGTGGAAGCAGAGCCAGCTCCGCGGGCACCTGACCTATTTGTCCCCACCCCACCCATGGGAACCAGGACAGGCACAGCCCCACTCTAGGTGGCAAGACAGACATCTGGCCAGGATGTGGGGACAGGTCCATGCTGTGGACCTCAGATGATGGTGCTGCCCACCCCAAGGCCTCTTGTGGACCAACTCACTGCACAAACTTTACTGAGTTCCACAAACCTCTGAGCCCAGCCCTGAGCTGAGTGTCCCTTCACCTTAGTCTCAATAGCCAGATTCCCTGGTTTGTGCCTGGGACCAGGAATTGATCCTTTCTAATTCTCAGTCCACCTCTACCCATCTTCAAGGGCTGCAATCCTGTGTCTGGGAGCTTGGGCAAGCTGCACATGGGCCTCTCCTGTGCTCTGATCCAGCCCTTTAGACCCCCAACTGGGACTCCCTCAAACCTGGCCACCTCTCTTCATTGCCCAAATACTTAGAGGCCCTTGCCTGGGGCCTGGACAAGGTTAACAAAGTAATCAACTTGTAGACTGTGCCCAAAAATGTGGGCAGGGGGCTGGGGATGTGGCTCAAGCGGTAGAGCGCTCGCCTGGCGTGCGTGCGGCCCGGGTTAAATCCTCAGCACCACATACCAACAAAGATGTTGTGTCCGCCGAGAACTAAAAAATAAATATTAAAAATTCTCTCTCTCTCTCTCCTCTCTCACTCTTTCTTAAAAAATAAATAAATATTAAAAAAAAATGTGGGCAACTCCCAGAGTCCTTGGAAACACTGATGCCAGCATGAGCCTCCTAATCTCGTCTGGCTGTGATCCAGGAATCCAAGCAAAGAGACCTGGCTGGATCCAGACCTGTCATTCTCAGGTTGTTAGAGGCTAGGTGTCCTCAGGTGCAAACTAGGGGTTAAAATGCCTACCTTTCAGCAACGTGATGGGAACCTTTCTCCCAAGTTTTCTCTGGGGACTCAGCCTGGTTAAGTGTACCCCCAGGGGATCCCCTTCCCTTCGCTACTCATCCACATTATCTGTCCCAGCTAAAGAGATGAGGAACCTGAGGCTCAGCAGGATCAGGGACTTTCCCAAAGTTATGCTCAGAGTCAGAGGTGAGCAGAGTAAAACCCTGTGGTGACTCAGCCAAGGCCAGCTCTGTGGGGGCACAGGGCCCTCTCCTCCCCTCCTGTTTCTCCAGCTGGCTCTGAGAAAGGCTGAGCCAGTGAGGAACATCTGCAGCACAGCATTAGCTGTGGGCTCCACCCCCAT